GTTAAGAAACAATCCTGTTTTTTTACAACAATGAGTTGTATGATCAAATAGATGGAGTTGCAGTGTGGTCGGAATTGGATCCCTGTTTAGAAAGCTTTTTCTATGTGAAAAAGAAACAAAATGGTTAAAAGATTCTCAAAAGTAATTCAAAATTGTATCTAGACGATATATAGATGATCCATGTGTGGGTTTGAATGTTTTATACCGTAACTTTCAAGCAAACAAATAAATAACCTAATTACCTACTTTATAACCTCATGATATCAACCCTTAACTAATAGAGTGAATCTTGATGACTCCGAGGGATCTTATTTTGTTAAAAACTAGCCTTATTATCTTGTAATGACATTACGAATTTCTATAATTTCATGCGTTTGTGGAAACTTTTGAATAAAATAGATAATTAACCAAACTATTGTTTTTCTAAAAACTACTTCGTGGTCTGAATAACCCCATTAACAATTACCTGTTATCTTTTCATTTACATGGTGAGCAGCCTTCGCTGATAATGGATGATATATATCTATATTACATTACGTACACAAATTATGATTTTTTGGCTGATTGACAATAGTCACGTATTGAGCATAACTTAAATTGATCCTGGAATATTAAGGTGTTGGTTTTATAAAAAGGCGGTTCAGTTTGTTCTGTGCGTTAAAACAGATGACACCCTTCTTTAATCATTGTTGGTTGATAAAAACTTGATTTTGGGTAAGAAAGGGTTTTTCTTCTATCTACCAGAAGTTGTTGCTCATGACTGACATAATAAGATTATGATCAGTTATTTAGTAAAAATCTGGTGATGAAGATATAGCTCATTCTATAAAAGTCCAACGGCTCAAACTTCTTTGTTAACAGTCTATAAAAATATTCTTGCAAGGTGTAATCAAGTAATATATAAGGTAAATGACAATAGTCGAACATTTGCCAACTTAGAAGCTTTGAAAATAGTTTTGAATAAGATAAAGAACGTGATTTACGACTTTGAATATATCATTATATCTTATTTTGAATCTTAAAAAAATGGCTATTAGTATATCTTAACGATATTTTAATTCTATAGGATCGAACAAAATTATGTAGTAGGCGGGGAAAAATCTTGAAAATATATTACTGCTCTGTTATTAGTACAACGTATATTTTACAACACCAGTTGTTGCATACTTCAAAAACTTGGGGAATTAGATATTTATAACAGCACAAAAAGAATCAACCTAGAAGTGCTTTTCATAAAAATAAACAGGAAAAGTACTCGAAGTCTACCAGACTTTAACTAACACCACTGTTGAAATCAGATACAGTTTTTATTGTCACAGATGGAACTTTATTTATTTTACGTCTGTATAAAACGTTCGTCAGTTCTGCACAATTATACAATTATTAATTGGTTCTCGTATGTCAAACTAAAGGGTGAGTCAATATTTTTCAATACAATGTCCACAGTGGCATATAACTGCATACAATAACTTAAAAACTATTACGCTTTAAATCTTAAAACTAAAACTCGACCATGAATCTTCAGTTACTTCTAGAAAACATTTACAAAGAATAACATATTTATCTGTAACTTTTACCTATATGTTGATTCATAGAAAGGATTGGATATGTAAGATAAAACAGTATAGTATATTAATAAAGCGTTTTATCTTTGTCAGTGACATTACCACCCCCAGACATTCATATAAATATTCAAATTATATCTCCTTTTTTCTTCTATAATAAAAAAGGTTTAACAGATATATGAAATAATATTGTAAACTTACGTGAGGTCGTTTCCATTTAAAAGATCTAGACGGAGTACAACTGAAGAAGACCGAAGAATCACAAGCAGGAAAATCTGGATCTTCAAATAAGGTTCCATTTTGAACGCACTGTTCATGGAGTTTGTGGAAGTCTTGAACTTGTTTACACTGAGCACCTGAACCACGCTCTCCACGCATATATATATATATATATATATAAAGGTGAAGATTTTCTCATTCAAATAGATAGGTAGATTTATTCAGTGAAAATTTTTTTCTATCAGCATTTCGAATATAAGTATAGTCTATTAGCAAATTTCAAAACTTTTCTATCGGTATTCTGAACAACAGTTGAATATATGTATATATTGGAGATATGAAACAATGAATATCGTAATGCCAATATCAAGTGAATCTGAAGAAAAAAGTGTGGATTCAAAAATTTCATCATCTATAACTTGAATGTTGTTTTATTTTGTACAAGGTTTGTTTGTTTGTAGTTAAGCACAAAGCTACACAGTAAGCTATCTGCGTTCTGTCCCCACGGGTATCGAAACCCAGTTTCTAGCGTTGTAAGTCCGCAGACATACCACTGGCAGGCTTTGTTTGTTTGTAGTTAAGTGCAAAGCTGCACAATGGGCTATCTGTGCTCTGCCCACCACGGGTATCGAAACCAGGTTTCTAGCATTGTAACTCCGCAGACATACTGCTGTGCCACTGGGGGACGGGGGGGGGCTTTGTATAAGGAGTGGAGGTACAAAAAGTTACTCACTAGCATTATTAGCATCAGATAATTCTATATAGAGTGTATAAATATAAAATCTTCATCAAAAAACAGTCTATACAATGTGTGAATATGCAAATATGGTCGTCGTCATCATCACAAATGTCAGTGAGTCTGTGCAAAAAGTATTGATACGGAAACTTTATCCTCAGAATCATACCGGTTCATTAATCAAATAGTAAGAGCATCGAAAGGATACTGATGGGAAAGTTTCTCTATCACTAAAATCAGTAAGTGACATTTTTTTCTAGTGATTATAACGTACTTAATGAATCGTCCCCTGTCAGCTCAACGGTAAGTCTGGGGCTTATAACGTTAACATTGGGTTTCAATAACAGCACAGATGGCCCATTGTGTAACTTTGTACTTAACAACGAAGAATTTGTTTGCTTGAATGTAAGCACAAAGATACACAATGGGCTATCTGTGCTCTGCCCACCACGGGTATCAAAACCCGGTTTCTAGAACAACGAAGAAACACATCTTCACATAAATCAAAACATCTATACTAAATATTGACTCGACACTTACTGAGTTTTTAATTCTCAAAATACTTAAAACCAATGTAACCAGATTTTTAGCGTTATAAGCCCTAAGGCTTACCGCTGAGCCACCGTGGGACAAAAACTAATGTAAAAGCCAGCGGTAGATTGAAGTGAAACAAAAATCTAAATACCACAAAACAAAACAAAAAGTCCAGAGAAAGAAAACGTGTTTCGCATGACAGTGGTCCGAATAATTATAAATGGCAAAACTAAATTTAATATCAGTAATTATAAATGGCCAAACTAAAAATAATATCAGTAATTATAAATGACCAAACTAGGAATAATATCAGTAATTATTCATAGCCAAACTAGGAACGATATCATTAATCATAAACGGCCAAACTAGAAATGATATCATTAATTATAAACGGCCAAACTAGAAATTATATCATTAATTGTAAATGGCCAAACTAGAAATTATATCATTAATCATAAACTGCCAAACTAGAAATGATATCATTAATTATAAATGGCCAAACTAGAAATAATATCAGTAATTATAAATGGTCAAACTAGGAACGATATCATTAATCATAAACGGCCAAACTAGAAATGATATCATTAATTATCAATGGCCAAACTAGAAATAATATCAGTAATTATAAATGGTCAAACTAGGAACGATATCATTAATCATAAACGGCCAAACTAGAAATGATATCATTAATT